CCTCCAGTCTCCTTGAAAGCTGTCAAAAGTGAGAAATCTTTTGTCTTCTTTACAAAAATTTGTAATTTGGATTATGTGTGTGGTCTTTATGGGTATGGTCTTTACGTAATAATATGTGTTCATCTGTGTGTTATATGTGGTGTGTTTTTTGCTTCCAGATGGCATAACTAGGTTATAATACTTTATTGGCCTAAAGAGATTAAATACTTACATAGATTAAGCAGGGTCCTGTGGTATAGACAAAATATTTGATATTAAAACCAATTTAAGTTGAATTGACAGCTTTTAGAATTATTACCAACAATGTATTTGTTTTACCCAGGTTTACAAAAAGTTTGTCTTGATCTTTTGGTTAAATATATTTGACGACCTTCCCAAAGTTTGAGTTTTGAGAGACTTTTTAACTGAGAAATGGCTTTGGGTTGCTCCAACGGGCCCCGCAGTACCTCAAGGCTTTGTTTTCTTTCCCTATAAGAGAAATTTTAAACTAATAATTATTATGATATGCTTGAAATTACATGAAAAGCTTTGCCAAAAGATAACTATGTTCTACTTGTATACGTTTATTTTATTGAAATGGGTGTTCTAGAGATTTCAGCCGGCCCTGGGGAGGAGCCTGCAGATTCAGAGCCAGGTTAACCCAGCGCTGGGGCTGGCAGGTGTCCTGTCCATGGCACAGGACAAGCGAGCGGCGCCCCGGTGACCTCCACGCACCGGAGGGTCCCAGGCTCAGCGCACTTCCGATAAGCCACGTGCAACTTTTAAAATCTTACATATTAACTGTTCTTTATGTATTGGAATTGTGTATTAAATCTAAAAATGTGAGCTTTATGTTGTCTTATGTCACTTCATAATAATTATTTACCAAGAAATTGTTACCTTGGAATGTTACATCTTACAGAAAAGCAAAGGTTTTTCATTAGCTGCGTTAGCATGGGATCCGTAACCATGTCATTTATAGACATTGTCTTACACTAACGCATCTGCCAATGTGACATTTCTAGAAAGGTCCCCGGAACGGACCCTAGATGAAGATTTGCAGAACCCTAATAACTGAGTTAATAGAAATACTGGCAAATAATCAGGATAAACAAAAAATGGTTACGGGACTGAATGAACGGAAGAGTCTTCCTTTTAAGACTTTGTTCAAAACACCGCTCACTTTTAAGTATTTCCGTTTTCCAAACATAAGGAAAACCAGGAGACAGTC